AAAAAGAAACAAAAGCCACTGTACATTGAGAAGTTTAAACATATGGGTGCAGTTCGAGAACAGGGAGAAGGGGGGAAAATGGGCTCAAAGCAAAGCACGTGTTAGGGCCAAGAGAATGCCGGGGAATGAGAACACCAGAGGGAGATGGAGTAATGGCAATGACTCTGGGCACGATCAGCATTCTTACCTCTGATTGGTGTACCACCTGGTGAGGTAATTTGAATGCAAATAAGATTAGAGAGAAGCATTAGTACAAAGAGGAAAGAAAAATTAAAGAAAACCAAAGGAAACAGGAAAGAATTTCAGCTTAGATTTTTAAATATATATTTTTTCTTTTTAAGCGACAGAAAAGGCTGATGCAAAGTAACAACTCAGAGCAATTTCTAGGTAGGTTAGTAAAGCTGTTCTCAGCAGTGCAGCATCCATGTAAGTGCCTGGACCTGTCCAAGTACTGAGTTGGCAATCAATCTTCACTGAATAAGTCGCATAGACAGCACTTTGCTGGAGGCGGAAAACTGGGGAAATGGCTTCATATTCGTTCATTATTTTTACTAAAACACATCAACCAGTGCATCATATTTTAAACCTTTTTCTCAGATGGCAAGAGCGATGCTTCATTTTATCAAGGTTTATTAGACATTTCTTGTGCTGTGATACGCAACTAGTTATTAGACATGGTGAGGATGTGGGTATGGCTCAGTTAGTAGAGGAATGCCATGCACCACTGCTTTTATGCTTATTGGAGTCTGTACACCAAGCACTTACCAAAGGATTCTGAGAAGTTCAACTGAGAGACAGAAAACAGAATTAAACAGGACACACCATGCCACATAAGACTTTTTGTTTTAAGGCTACTGAAAAGGATTTAACATAAGAACTTGGTGTATGTATATCTAATGTTAGTGTGAGCATTGCGACTCAGGATATGCGCGTTTTAATTGATTTGACACATAATGTCCAGGAGTCCCTGTTCACAAACAAGAAGCTTGAGAATTAATAAACATACCACACGCACCCAATACCAAAGGAGTACAGCAGCAGGCAAATGTTTATCTGTTAGCTAACAGAGAGATTTTTTTATTGAATATACTCTACTTCACATTTCACGAAGTTTCATTCTCCCCTCCTCTCCCTTTCCCAGTTTACAACACATTTTGAAAAAAATAACATAGCTGAAATGGATCATTAGCAGTAGAGCTCACAAATGTCTGAAGAAACATTTCAGTATTCTGTTTCTAAGAGCACTCCATTACCAAGTAGTGGGCTAATCATTTATCATTCCGAAACTCCACAGTAGCTGCTCTCTGTGCTTCACACTCCGTTTACGGTGGAAGTTCACTTTGTTTTACAGAAGGAATTTAATAGCCTCAGTGGAACATATTTCCCCCTTCTCAACCACTATATTGAGATTACCATATCCATCAGCCACTCTGGAACAAATGGATAGCAGGAGACCTAAAAACTGATTCTGACAGAGTGTGATTGAGCTTCAGATACTTAACCCTCAAACACAAAGACATTTTCCAATGCAGCTGGAACCTCTCTAAATCTGCAACCTTTTTAACCGCTCTGGGGTTGGTAAACTTTGGTTAGCATTAGCACCAAAAATTGTTGTTACAATGTAAAAGTACACAGGGTGTGTATCCAGTTGTGAACAGCGGCTGAACAGAATACCATATGGTTAAGCAAAACCTATAACACTGTGGTTAATTAACACTTAAAAGGTTACTGGGCTCAATGCTACAAAAAGACCAAACTATACCCTGACTGAATTACAAGAATTACTGTTAAATATACATTCTAGAAACAAATTAAAATTCTTCCCACAAAGAATATGCAACTCTCACTGCGAATAGTGTGAAATACAGGGAATAACTACAGTTGAATTCTGAAATAACAATTAGTCTCCTGTACGTTAATGTTATAAATTAGACCGCCATTTATATTTTAGCATTTTTATGTGAACAAGGCTGTGATTTACTTGAGATTAACACTTGTGAAGAGTTGTTTTATCATGGGTGTAGTCTCAGAAGCACTGTGATGCTACTTTTTAATCAATTTATAAGATTGATTCATGTGTCCAAGTAACACATTGGTGAGTTTGCTCTTCAATCAAATTCCACTCTCATTTTATACACCTAGATAAAACATAAGTAAAAGGATGTATAGCTCACAGATATCAGAAGCAAACTTTACATTTGAAAATAATTCAGAATGAATTCAGAAAAATAATCACACCTTTCTTTGGTGTCCTTTTAGGGATGGCATGTAGTCTAACACTTAACTTAACCTTTCCCCCTACCTGTTTCGTCTATTTCTGTTTTTTTCCAGTTTCTTTCCGTTTTATCTTTTGCCCCTTCTTTCTGAGATTTGGCCCAAATTCTCTGCTCTGTTTTTTTGTCTTCCTTCTATTACCTCATTTGTACTACTAACAGGATCCCATATTGCTGCCTAGTTGTAGCTGCAGCTGCCCTGCTGTAAGCTGCTGCTGCCATGAGATGGCTTCTCTGGGTTACAGTTCAATTGTATGCTGCTGGCATCAGAGCGCTCCAGATTTACTGATGGTTCGCTTGTCGCGTTTAGTGAGGACACATGCTGCAATGCTGTCCCGATGCTAGTGGCAAACAAACAAACAGACTTAACATAAGGTACTTCGGGATTTTTCATACTTTTAGAAGTTTCAATTTTAAAAAACATGCATGAATAAGATATCATTCATAGTCATTCTATGTGGTAATCCTCGAGTTGTTTGAACATCATATTTTACTTTAAGCTGTTCAACAGCCTCTAAATATACCACACATGCATATTTTATGCCCTTGGGTAAAATTACTGACTGCTGTGCAGATTATCAAAAACATTTCATTGGTTCACAATGTTAGAAAAAATGAAGGAAGTCGACCAGGATTCAAACTTGAGCTGGAAGATGTACATAACGTTGAGTAAGTGGAGACTTCAGTTGAAAAAAGTTGAGGAGAATAGACAGAATAAAGATTTGTGCCACAAGGTGTCAAAACATAGTTTCCATGCTGTTGAGAGTATACCCCAAGATGCAGCATTTGTGAGTTCCTTCTTGAGGGCATTTTATGCAACAATGCATATGTGTTGGCTACATTTTTAGTTTGTGATATATTCCTGGACCTAAATGTAAACCTTCCTCCATTTTGGTTATTAATGGGAGGCACGCATGAGAAGGGTAGACTGTGGAAGCTAGGTTTTGTAGTAATAATAACAGATAAGAATTTTTTTCATTTCTTCTGACAATATCAAAATCTCAGATAAGATCAGCAATTTTTTATAATAATTCATTGGGGCCAACAAAAATGGATAACTTCTGGGTGGTCATAGACTCTGTCAGTGTGATGTCAGCAGCATTTCCTGTCCGTAATGCATCAGAGGTGATTTTTATAGTCCTTCTTTGCATAGCACGGAGGTGCAGCACATAGGAAGTGAAATTCGTGGCATGGATCAGTCAAAAAATCTATTTTTTAAAAAATCTATTTTTTTTGGTGTCAGATTGCAGAATACATTTTTGTTTTTTATTGATTTCCATCAGCCCCAAGTATTAGAGGGCCGGGGGTAACAAACCCAACTAAATGACATTAGAATGGTTCATAGATCAAACGCATGTTGACCAAAGGGAAAGAGAGAATATAATGCAACTTGTGCCTATAAATAATAATCACCAAATGATTAATATGTTTTACAAACATTTTAGGCACTGGATCTTTGTTAACAACATACTTTCCATTGCTTTTAGAAGAAATAATTATGAAATGGTGTAGCTTTAAAGACAAGCAATGACAAAACCATTGCTGGCATTATATTCCAAAATACATCCAGGCATAGATCTACACATATTTTGAACCTGTGGCATATGGTACTTTGGGGAAAAAAGTTCTCTGGACTAGAATAACTCCAAATAAAATATTTTAAAGCATCTTGGATGCAAAAAAAAGCCTTAATTTGTTGTTAAAGGTACTATGTGTGTGACAAATGGAGAGAATAGGAAATAGTAGTTTTTATACAAATTATCAAATGCATATATTTCAGACCAAATTGAGAGTGTACCACACATAAAGCAATTTGTCTTTCTTCCTTCAACTGATTGAATGAATTCTGTAAGAAATTTTAGCATTTGCTTTGATAACGCAGATTTTTTTAAAAACATTTTTAAATCAGTTTTTAAACAAAAATTATTTAGTGTCAGAAAAATCGAATCCCGCTTACATATGTGACTGGCGCAGTGAATGTCTTCAAAGCGGGATTTCAAATAAAACAGCATAAATTCAAAGCCCTCGTTCATAACAAAATAATAATCCATTCTGTTGAGAAGACAAATTCTGCTAAATTGACTTAAAACTTGATTTTTTTAAAAAAAAGACACAGCAAATAACTTTACATAGCAAACACAGCTGAATTTTACATTTAAATCACAATTCAATATGAAGGGGGACCACACTTTCTACAAATAACGTTACATTTTAGACATGAATAGCATAGATCCACCTACTGTGTTTAAATACAAGATCAACCTTGTACTGGGTGTAACTAGGTACTGTATTTGGTGGCGGTTAATTCTGGCCAGACAGGATTCAAACTCAATTAAGTCATTCTGAACATCGTTATATATCTGCATCAGCAAGGCATTGAATAAACAAACTTCAAGCCATATGTCACCATCTCTAGCTGGGAAGTTCTTACTCCTCAGTTTTAAATGGATAAAGAATACAGTGATACTATTTTTGGATCCACGCAACTAGCTTTCAAGGAAAACAAGACATTTCCAGGCGGTAAATAACCAAAGATGCCAGGAATAGTAATTGAAATAAAAACGTTAACAATAATAGAGTGAGTAAGCAAACTGATCAATTAATGTAAAACACGCTATCAATATAACTGACCTACAATACAATTTCCTTAATAGGTCAGTATGAACACCAACTACCACAGAAGCAACTGGATCAGTAATTTACTGGTAGGCAAATGTTTCTTCTTACCTGATCGGAGTTGTTTGATGCGACCGTTGCTGTTGCTAGTGTCCACTGGCAAGAAATCCTTGAACCATGTGATTTCAGGGTCTGGATTACCACTGGCAGCGCAGAGCATTGTGGCTGTGCGGGTTCGCTCCACGACCTTCAGTTGTGGGCCCATGTCAATTTGAGGAAATCCATGAGGGAGCTGGTCCTCTATTAAAACACAATTGGATAACGACTAGAATTAACTTCTGAAAATACATACAGACGAATGTGACAATCCCATACACTAGAGTTCCCTTCATTGAAGCAGAGAAATCTTGAAATTGGAATCTAAATGTTTGCTGCATAATGCCCATTATATCAAGCTCTGTATATGTGTAAAACCAGCTGTATCCACTCAAGCATTTTTAGAATTCTTTATTTACAAATGTTTAATATCCACAGTGGTTTTCAACAAACAGACTTTGCTCCTTTACTGCGAACCAAGCATAAATCTCATATGCTCCACAGCATCATTCTGTTGCTAAGCGCAGTCAGTACAGGGGTGAAACAGTACACATTTATCTCTCGAATCCTCCAATGTACTAGTGCTTAACCCCAGGTTAACGTCCAGCATGCTGTCTCTCTCTGATGAATTACTAAATCGTCTAATTTTCCCATAATGCACACCTGAGAGATTCTAGGTCAGTGAATTGCGCTGTGCATGCCAACACTGCAAAGAATCTCATTTCCAAATTATTCCCAGAGTCATTAATCTAGAATGACAAATTTCCCAGACACCCTTCACTCAGCACGGTCATAACAGGTGCTGTGAGAACCAGGAGGAGATAAGGAGTCAGGAACTGAGACTGTGATTACTTCCTGAAAATTCACAAAAGCAAGACTTGAGCATTTATTAACACATTAATAACTTCTGTATGCACGAGTTGGTTATCATCTCACTGCCTCTCTCACTTGACCATACTTTTCAACGTTGTTCATATTATGTGTTAACATTTACATGAACAGATCATTTCAACATGCCAGAAGGGGAATTTTTTTTGAGGGGTACACTATACATAAAAATGGTAGACTGGTAATTCAGTTTAGGCTGTAACTTTTGCAGCTGCACAGATTATTTTTGTACATTTATTTATTGTACATTTTATTAATTATTGAAACAACAGTATGAAGATGGATAAAATCTTGTGAAAATGAAAAATTCCTGGTCAAAGCACAATAAGTAAAGTGCCAACACCATACATAATGTTTGACTACTCGCCAAGGATAAGATTCTCATCATTCTCTTTGGATGACATTCAATCATCCATATAAAAATGTTAAAGTAATGTGAATATTAAAATTGAATTCCACCATACCAAGAGAGAAAATCTCAAGACACAGTCGCTTAAAGAAATTCATGGCTGGGTGATCAACTGATCTTGCCCTGCAGCCTCAAGTTGAGGCAACAGCAAGCTAGGAAGAAGCCTTGAGTACTTTAACTTTATTCAAAAAAAAGGAAGACTAATCACGGCAAACAGTTCAATACCAATTTTCATAATTTTTCAAGCTCCACATACAGTATAAACAGTATAAAACAACACACAATTTGGCAGTTGTGAAATCTATATCTTTAGCCAGCTTGGAGCTCAGTAGTGCCGAAACATTTATCATCCTGAGCTATCAAATTGAATAATCTAAATGAAAGCACGTAAACCGCTCCAAGTTGGCACTTTGTAGTCAGGCTACACTGAAAGCCTTTGCATATTAACCCAAGAAGTTGCTTCTCAACAATTGAAGTGTTCTCTACCCTTTGTAAAGTTCACTCTGGTTATTATAACAGAGGTCCTGCCAAGACAGATGCAAATCAAGAAAATTCATTCCGCTATCCATTCTCCTAACCATAGTTTCCAGCCTATACTCATGCACCAAAACCAGATAATGGTATACCCCACTATCCGTGCATGTGGTTCTGTCCTGTAGCTCAGTGATTAGAGCGCTCGGCTTGCAAGCGAGACATCTGGGTTCAATTCCAAACAGGGCGAAACCTTGGACAAGTTTCCTTACTCCACACGCCTGATAATAGTCCCCTCAAAAACAAAACAATAATAAATTGGTCATTTTCAATCCACGACTGTTTGTGGGACACTCCTGTGCACAACTGGCCGACTCATTTCGCCCACAAATATACGGTCAATTCACTTTACAGCATATTCTGTGAAGCGCTTTGAGAGGTCCAGAAGATGTGAAAAGCGCGAAGTCAAATGCAAGGATTATTATTATTAACTATGCTGAATGGTAGGAAAGGAATAACAACTTATACTTGTATAGCAACCTCCACGTAGGGTAGTGCTTCAGAAAGCTTAAATATAGTCCTAGCTATAAGAAAGATAGCTTTAAAAAAAACATTTTTGAAGAATAATCATTTTTATGTTTTTTTTCAAACATCACATAGGGACGACCAGGGGAACAAAGTGAACTTCCAGGCACTTTTATAAAGTATGACAACCTTAGAAGGGGTCACTGATCATGCTGACCTGGCTGAGGTTTTCAAATTGCCATTCAAACATGGATATCATTATTAATGCAGGTTCTTCTCTCTTGTATATGATCTAGTTTCAATTAGATAAAAATTATGCTTGGGTCCAACATTTCACAGGCATGTTATAACAAAACACATAAAAATATTAGGTTAGGCCCCTGTTAGGTTGCTACTAACAGCATTTTTTGTGCGTAAACACTAAAAGGAAAAGATAATTCAACCCATCAAGCCTGTTCCACCAGTTGATTAGGTCATGCCAAATCTTTTAATCCTACATCACTTAATACCTCTATCTAAGGATGTGTTGCAGCATCACTGCTTACAAACTGTGATCTCAAAATAAAAATCTCAGTTTCCTATGGGTCACTGAAGGGTTAAGAATTGAGAAGTTATACACAATAAGGGTGATCCCACTCTCTACCATTTTTAACATATACAGAGTGAAACTGAAGTCCTTACTCAGTTTAAATTATTAATTTTTTTATATAGATGATATTTGTAGAGAGTGTGCAGTTATTACAGATGTCTTTCATTGCATTCATGAAAGTTTTTGTCATTGACTTGATATGTATAAACATCTACATGGCATTCAGTTTGAACAACTCATATAGAACTATGAGTAAGACTTTTGACTTTTCACCATTGGCGGGAGGGGGAGTCATCAGCCACTCTGCCCCCAACCTCTGGAATTCCATCCCCCAATCACTTCGCCTCGCCCCCTCCTTAGCCTCCATCAAGTCCCACATCAAGACCCTCCTCTTCGACCATGCCATCGGCCACCCCCCTTCCCCTCCCCTCCCTTCTCCCCCCCGACCCCAGCTCGGGTCTGAAATGCTGTACACTGTCCAGCGCCTTGGGACGTCCTCCCTACGTGAAAGGCGCTATACAAATGTAATCTTGTTGTTGTCGATTCACCCTGTATAGCCACTTAATTTGTGGGAAAAGTTCGAATTAGATATCACAAACAAAAGATTATTATGGGAATTTAACATTTTCAATTGAATTTTTGAAATGTGTAAGAGCGATGTTACAAAGAAATAAATGGACCTGAAAGTCCTAATTCTGTGCTTGAAATTTTAGCAGCTACAAGCAATGCAAAGCACTGAATGGAAAATGTCTACACTTTGCTACTGAACAATCTACACAAGAATATAGGAATAGTTTTCAGTTATTGGCTCGTATCTGTCACTAACATTGTTTGAACTTCAATTTTTTAATCCATAGTTGATAGTATTAAGTTTCCACTAGTAAAGTAATAGCTCGCTTGGAAAGACGATTGCAAAATGGAGTTTCTTTAAAAATCTTCCCTTCACCTCTTTCCCCACCCCCTCCTTAGAACTTTCAGGAGATGCAGACTCACTATATTTCTGTTCCGGAAATCCCGACATGATGATTTATGGACTTCAGTAGGTTATCACACACTACTGTAATTGAAACAGTTTGTATGATAAGGAGTGATGACTTAAAATTCAGAGGCCAGAGGATCCTTTCAAATAACAGCCTATAACACACAATGTTCTCTGCCAACTCCTCCCCATGTTCTCTCAGACACTTTCTCAAACAATAATTATTTTAATTTTTCATTCTTTGGAAAGAATGTGCATTTCTGCTGTAATTGGAAATACAAATAGGTTACACACAAAATACTTGGGTTGAATGCTTCATCAATGGCTAACAGCAGATTATTTGCCAAACTTTTTGATAAGGGAATAATGTGCACCACTGAAAAAGGAGTGCCAAAAACAGCAAGTAAATTAAATCAGAAACCTGCAGTTTTCTGTTGTCCTTTTCTTACAACAGCAGCGTTTACAAAAAAACAGAGAAACTTCTGAACCTTGAAAATAATGATTCTTTCAAAGGTTCTGATCCAGAATTAACTCACATAAAAATCAAGCAGTGAATAGGACTGTAATTGGTTGCATAAAAATAGCAGCCACCCTCAAACAACATTAACACTTAACTTATTCAATGTGGTCACCAGGCTGGTATATTTATAAAAAATATTTCCACTTGGGTCCCTCTTCCCCAAGAGAATCAGTTTCCATTTGAAATGGTTTCGTTATTTGTACTCCAGTTTCAATTTGTCATTGTGCACTTGCAGAAAGAGCAAACAAAATCTTAAACCCATATCATCTTGAAACTTATTCAATATAAAATCTCATGCCCTGTCCATTTTATTTCAAATTTTCTCCCAAATCTATATTTCTTGCCAATTATTCCCTCAGTTTGAAGAATGGGATTTCACAGCTTCGGTATTATAAGCAACATGTAACACAATTCGGCAAACTAAATTTGGTTCTCTTCTCCCTTTTCCTTCTCTCTCCACAATCTGTAAGAGTTGGCAGACCTTAATCCAATTTAGATAAGAAAAATCAAAATTAGATGAAATTCTAATTCCATATCTTTAATTGGGAGTCAACTATACCTAAGGCTTTCTTACGAAGTTTTCTTAGAGGAGTCTCCCCGCCCCTAACACGCTCACACAAAGAGAAATAAAATTATATTGAACACTCTACCAGGTAGTCTGTGTTCCAGTGTAAATGGTGAATTTTTGGTGTACTAGGTTGAAAGTAATTAAGAGTACCCTGAAAGTATGTAGCAAAACTTTAAACTAGACTGATTGACTGTAAAGCACTTCTTACCAACATTGAGCTGGAATTGGTCCAGGACACGTGCAGTGCCTCTACAG